GTGTTCAACAACAATAACAAATATGCAACGTAAACAAGCACAGACATTCTCAAACGAACTAGTGTAGCGAAAAGTGTTCAGTCAGATTTGCTTCGCTAGTTCGCATAATGCAGCGAAATTTCTAACCAAGCGAAGTAAGCGAAATTTTTGAGAGCTGTCTGAGGAGGGCCAGTGTAACTTTCATTTTTTAACCTTGATACAAGTTTTCAATAATATCTGCTCATACGTATGTGCATTAAAATAGGATAAACTGTGTTAAAAAAATAAATTTGCCTACTCGAGAGGGAAACATCTACATAGCAATTTGACAACTTCCCGCCGCAGGTTTTTGTTTCAAAAATTCTTTTACAAAATGTTGTTTCTTTCAATGGCTGTTTTCTTCGTGCTATTCTGCATATACATATACATACTCGATTCAATTCGCGAGAAGTAACGTCCCACCGGGTAAGAAAATGTCTAGTTAAAAAAATTGTGCAAATTTTCATCAATGAATTTATTCTTTTTTCAGGTCCCTTCGTCGTTCCGATTCTCGGTTCCATCCCAGCAATGGGCCTGCTCAAGAAGGGAGACCTTAGATTTACCGATTTAATCAACTCGAAACCTTGGTAATTTATGCATCTCGGGTTAGAATTTCTGTCGGGTACGGGTTCCTATTCGGGTTTCGGGTTCGGTTCGGGTTCGGGTTCGGGCTCGGATGGGATTTTCCAATCCGATTGGTATTCGGGTTCGGGTTCGGATGGGAGATATTTGATTCGTAGAGTTCGGATTCGGGTTCGGATTCGAGTTCGGATGATCCGAGAACCCGAATTTATTTCAACCATCGAGAAAAAGTGGCGGGAACAAGGAAGCAATTTCCACCACCAGATTATACACATTCTGCATCGAAGAAGGTTGTGGTAAAAGTAGCTTCTTTATTTACTTGTAAAATAATCCCAAATTCTACTAATGTCATCCGCCATTGACGTTGTTAACATGAACAATAGCTCACCTGACCCATCACCAGGGTCGTCGCCTCCCGTTGGCGATGTACATGAGCGGAAGAGTACAAAAAAGAGGTCAACCATCCACCAGCATTTTACTCTTATCGAGAAAGAAAATAAGTATAAATGTAACCTCTGCCAGTAAGTTGATAATTTTTCCTTATTTAATGATAACGGTACAGGATTCAACTAATATCCTTTTTTTCAGTGTGAAATTCAGAATTGATGTAAAAACATCATCGACTGGGAACCTCAATAAGCACTATCAAAAGTTTCATGTACTTCCAGCTGGGCAAACTATAATTAAAACGAACACAAATAATAATTCTCGACAGGTATGTGTTAGGATATGCCATGCTATTTAATTATAAACAAGTTTTAATTTTTTCATGATCAGCCATTTAGTCAGCAAGAGTTTGACCGACGTGTGGTTTCGTTCATTATTCTAAAAAATCAGCCAGTTACGACAGCTGAAGATGACTCATTTGGTGACATATTTAAAATATTTTCCGAAACCCCTCGCATGATAAGTAATGATACTGTGAGACGCAGAATATTCACGTTATTCGATGAAGAGAAGGCAGCCCTTAAGTCAACATTAGAGGTTAGAATTATATCTTAAATATAAATTGGATGTATGCATATATACATATTTTACAATTTCATTGATTTAAATCGAATCGTTTTGTAGGGAGTTGGAGGAAAAATTTCTTTTATTCTAGACTGTTGGACCTCCCCTAATCAGATCCAAGGAATAGTGGCACATTGGATTAATGAAAGCTGGGAATACGAGGAGCGAGTTATCGACTTGGATATTTTGAAAGGAAAGCATACGGGAAAAAATCTCGCCTTATCGTTTTTAAAGTGTTTGGAAGAGTTTAACTTAACTCACAAGATTATGCCCGAGACTCGGGTATAAAAAGTTTGGCGGACTGTATTCTGGATGTTGTGGCAAATGGAGGGTCGGTAAGCAAGTTGTTCACTTTCATTCATAATATCGGACACTTACCAATCGAAATGAGACATTAATTCCTTTTGTAAATAAAAATGAATGAAGGATTAATCCTTTCAGATCAAAGGTGCTGAATTAATGGCATTCGTTTCATTCACTAAAAAATTATGAGAATTTATGAAATCAATATGGAACAAAGTGACTGAAGGTAATTCTTTTATTCACTGCAAAGAAAACTGCTAAAAAATTAATGCAACCAATTTTCTTGCCGGCAGAATTTAGGTGTTGCAATAAATGCAAGAAACAAACGTCATCTAGCGGTCGATCCCTGTAGTTAAATCTGCTATTAAGCATGACCCGCCAGGTGGGTTGTCTTTTTCGTATTTCAAGTGGAACATATGTACAAAATTAGCGGGAAATCAAGCATTTTTTAAAAATATTAATGAAACCCATAACTATATGCAAATCAGAATTTAATAACCTTTTAGTTCAATAAAAATATTTCCCAATATAAATATTTACAAAACTTACAATGCAGGTGTTTCTCATGTAAAACTCCGATTTTGACGAGACCTATACCAAAAAATCAAGCCAAAAATCACAAGAAACGTTTCTTTTGGCACTTTTTCTAATACTCAGGTTCGGACGTGAACCGACGTGACGAAGTGACGAAAAATGGGCCGCTCCCCCAGTGCGATTGCCACTCTCGTTCCCTTTTCACCGCTTCTCTCGCAATGACCTCACGCTCGCTCTCATTATTTTTTCTCTCGCTCACTTTCTCTCTCGCTTGACATCTAAAATAGGTTTGTGACTCATTTAAATTAAATGACATTTAATAATGTTTCATAACCTGGACATCATTAATTTTGATCCGTCGCGAATACATTAGTTTGCCTTATTTGGGATAAATTCGTTCAACGAAAAACCACAAAGTTTCCCGTATGAGAATGATCCTGCAGAAAACTGGCTGTTTTTTTGCGTACTATGTAAATAGTTTATGAAGATGATACGTGCGTAATTTTGCATAATTCTACAGGACATCTCCATATTGTACTCTGCATAAAAATATGTGTATAATTACCTGTGAATAATAAAACATAAATATCTGGAGATGTATGTACAAAACCCATACAAATACATGTCAAATATATACATATTGATAGAATTTCAAATATTAACGTTTTCATGTAGAAATTTTTACGCATAAATTTTGTGACTAATCTAGGCAAATCGTGCATATTTATTCATATTCTCTCTGCATACAAACCGGTCAATTTTCTGCAGGGTAATTCTCATACGGGAAACTTTGTGGTTTTTCGTCGTACGAATTTATCCAAATCAATCAAACTAACGTTTGTGCATTAAAAGAAGACCCAATTTTACATGCATTTCTTATTGAGAAATGGGTCTTCTATAAAAACACAAACCATAATGCATTCGCGACGAATCAAAAATTAATGCTGTTTAGATTATGAAATGTCATGACTATTAAATGTCATTTAGTGTAAATGAGTCACAAACTCGTTTTAGATGTTGAGCGAGAGAGAAAGTGAGCGAGTGAAAAAATAACGAGAGCGAGCGTGAGGTCATTGCGAGAGAAGCGGTGAAACGGGAACTGGAGTGGCAATCGCATTGGGAGAGCGCCCGTATTTCGTCACTTCGTCACGTCGGTTCTCGTCCGAACCTGAGTATTGGAAAAAGTGCCAAAAGAAACGTTTCTTGTGATTTTTGGCTTGATTTTTTGGTATAGGTCTCGTCAAAATCGGAGTTTTACATGAGAAACACCTGCATTGTTAGTAATCTATCGATAAAAATATATTTCCCTCCACAGTCGTCCTCGCATCGTACGATATCCTCCGCGAGGTGGAAAACATGGACGAATACTCGATCAAAGTGTGCAACGAGGTGAGCACGGCACGCTCCATGGGAAAAGAACTCGGCCTCATTTTCGCCGGGACGCCTCAACTTTGGACCGAAATGCGCAAATTTTCCATTCGAACCTTACGCGATTTCGGATTTGGCAAGGTTGTAAATAATTTCGTAACCAAACCAATGTTGCATAAGCTGGGCAAGTACCATTTTTGCACAAATATTTATCAGCAATTTTTATCCAGCGCCATTCCATGCAAAGCGTTATTGAGGTTGTAATTTGTGATTTGGTGAACGAATTTCGAGCCGAGATTGCAATGACTGGCGGAGTTATGAAGGTTCGGAAATTTGAGTTTATTTATCAAAATATTTACACAAAATTTTTGCACAAATAAAGCTTTTGTGCAATTTTTTTTTCAAAATCTAGATCCGAACGAATTTCATCCTCTCCGTGTTGAATGTCCTTTGGTGTATGATTGCCGGAGTGCGGTATGCCCACGATGATCCCAAATTGAAGAAACTGTTGGAAACTAATTTTACAATGATAAAAGTGCAAACTTTTATCAATCCGACACATTCGTTTCCCCGGCTGAAAAAGATTTTCCCAAAGTTCTTGAACGTTGATTATTTTTCAAAAGTTTATCAAGAATGTCATAAATACTCACAGGTGAGATACCAAAATATACAAAAGTAGTAAAAAACTTTTTTCAGATTTACTTATTACTTAAAAAAACTGGGTTGGAATGTGAACTTTACATAATAGAGAAACTGTGAAACCTGTAACAAAATCCTACATATCGCAACTAAAAAATTGTCCACTCAAAAAACACGTTTTTTCTGAAAGAATTTCCAAAATATCTATAAATTTGTAAATTTCGTAAATCTCAATATACAGAAATGTCAAATCGCCCTAATTGTTAAGGTTCCATTGATTATGGACAATTCTTGATCATATTTATTCCTATTTACTATCGGGTGGATAAGCTGATGAATTAACCTTTGCTGAATAAGGTCATGACATTTGATTGATAAGTTTGATTAAAAATTCTCACGCTTTTTCAGCAAAGTTTTCCCGAAATCTATGAAATTGTGCAAAAATTCACAACTTATGACTAATGTTCAAGATTTTGAGGCATGCGTCAATCAGTAAATAAATAAATAAATAATATAATATTTGCCAGGTGAACGAAAGTCACGCCCATTAATTCTGCTTCCAACTGTTTTCAATTTACAGAGTTTAATTGACGAACGAAAAGCAGAAGGTGCGTATCTACAAGAGCCACAAAATTACATTGATTGCTTCCTGAAAAAAATTGACAAGTCAAAAAATGAACCAAAATCTGTCTACACGAATACGAATTTTAAAAAGTACTTTTTTAAAAAGTGTTCAGAAATAGAGTGAGCTTGAGTATTTTTAACCTCGTTTAGACGAAAATTTACAAATGATGATTGAAGACTTCCTGCAAACTGGGTCAACTACGTCGGTAGGGACGCTAAATTACGGCGTGCTTTTCCGCACCCTGAATCCACGTGTTCAAGAAAGATGTCAAGCTGAGATTGATGCCGTGGTTGCGAGACATTTAGTCACTACGTTGGACGATATTGAAAAGTTGGTCAACGAATTTTTACATTTTATAAAGACCCATGCAAATTCATACGTCATAATTTATGTAAATATGTAAATACAAAATTTTTCTGTTACGTTAACATTACTTGATTACACAGTGCACAATTTCAAATTTTTAGTGATGATACATTTTTTACTGAATTTTTTGGAATGCCATACTTTCAAGCTACCATTTTGGAAACGCATCGACTAGGAAATATAGTTCCTATCCCGATTCCAAGAGTTTCTCCGGCAAATTGGACTCTTCGAGGGTATACGATTCCAAAGGTGGAAAATTTTTTCATGAAAATATTTCAGTTATATGTTTGCTTTATATTTGGTTTATCAGGACACACTCATAATTTCGAACCACTATTCGGTCCATATGGACGAAGAATATTGGGGTGACCCGAAAACCTTCCGACCAGAACGGTTCATTAACGACAAGGACGAATTCATTCGGGATAAACGCGTAGGTCAATTTGGGTTTGGTGAGTGAATTAATAATTGAATCCATGCGTATATACGTCCCAATATCTACCGTAGTTTGTTATGTATGTTCATATAACAACACTTCGTTACCGCACGGTAACTAAATTTCCTATAATCTGCACACAGTACTTGATTGCTGGCACATTTTCCACATTTCTTGCAGCGCAAGGAATTGCAAGAAATTCAGAGTGCAAGAAATGCAAGAAATATGTGGGCGCCACCTAGAATCTCACCATGTGTTCCACATAATTGTAGGGAGTATCTCCCAAATAGCTCATATTTCTTGCAATTCCTGCATTTCTTGCAGCTACCTACAGCGAAATAAAAATAATTTCCTGTAGTAATTTTCTGCAGGTGGTTTTTTCATGGCAAACACTGATCCCACAATTGTAAATTGATTCCGGCTTCGCCGAATTTCGTGCCGGTTTCTTGTCACGGTTAATTAACAAATTTTACATTGGGAGATAATTTAAAGAAATTCCATAACTACATAAATATGTAACACATTTGTACATATTTAATTTACCCTCCATGTGTTCAAGCAAAATGGTAAATGGAATATTTCCGATTTTGATATACCGCACATGCGCAGGAAAACGATACTGCATCGGAGCAACGCTGACCAATTCCGTGATTCCGATTTATATTTCCACGCTGCTGCAAAATTTCAATTTTTCCGCCCTTTCTGACTCCAAGCCACCCACGATGGAACCCGAGCTGGGCGTTATTCTATTGCCAAAAGAGTTTTCCGTTCGTGTAACGCCCAGACCTTAGCGAACAAAACATATTTACATTGTATACTTATTAAATCACGTGGGATTTGTGACGAAACATAAATTGTACCAGAATTTAAATGTTAACGTGACATAATAATTTGATTAAGAAAATGGCCGTAGCTGCAATATTTATTTTGGATGTAAACATATAGCTAAATTTCTTCAAACTTGTTTCGTCCCTAATTTTTTATACTTATGTATGTAGGTAACCTATGTATGTATGTACATATGTATGTATGCAATATAATTAATAAATTGCTAAAAATAAAGTTTGAAGTATGTGTATGTATATGTAGTTGTTCTTGAGTACCATACTGATACAATTTAAGCTTAAGAATCATACATGAATATGCAGCTAAACTCAAAGTCGAGCTACTGTGTGAGATTTTATTTATTTCGTATTAAAATACAAAGAATAGATTTTTTGTATGGTGTACATAAATTATAACATAAATCTGTCGAAAATTAACCACTTATGTACATAAATACGAACGAGTCGAACATTACATACTTAGACCTTAAGATTAGTTCAAAAAGTCCCATCCGTAGTTAACATTCGCCAGAACGTATCTAAATAATCTGGTAAAATCTATATTGTGAACATGGTCAATTTACCGTCCGTACAGCATTTATTTAAATCGTAGTACATATTTCCACCATTTACGTTTTCCTCAGGTATCCTCCTTCTTATTTACCACAGGTCTTTCTGTGATTATAGAAATTATTGTCTTGAAAGGCAACCCCACAAGTTTTGCAGCGGAACCGGTGATGAACGGCGGATTTGTGGTCGTTCAGGTTGGCCAACGAGGAAAAGGTGAGATCACACTTGGTACCCATTTTAGGCGTGTGGTTATGCATGGTGTGTGTCATTAAATGAGGAGAAGCAAATAAGGAAGCCCAAGATGGATCCTCACACTGGAAGGGGAGACGAGCTGAGGAAAAATAAATAAAACATGTACAATTAAAAAATCCGCTAAACAAATTAATTAATTAGTTGATGTATGCATGTACATCTTTGCAGCCCGAGTCAGCAAGATTTATGCCCAAACCCGTTACTACATTACATCCATCTAGATACTTTACCGAGTGTGAATCTTCAGCACAGATCCAGTTTCGGTATCCTTAAATTATCAAAAATTACACGAACATCTGAAGATGTGCACCCAGTAGGATTAGACGTCATACAAACATACCGGAATTCAAGAATAGATGCCGGGTCAAAATTTTCGGTCATAATTGGTATCGTGGTAAATCATCCGTGAAAAAATAGTCTTGACCCAGCCTATATTATAGATTTTACGGTACATTGGGTGCATACATACATACATAAATAATACGAGGAAGTAACAAATATGTACTTCGGTGTGAAACATATGTAGTTAGGCGGTGTTCGTGCTGCCCGGAAGCCGATCCACTACACATATTCGAAGTGGATCGGGCCTTGCTGAATCGGGCTAAATGAAGTCTTATAACTTAATAATTACCCGAATGGCTGTGCTGACATGCACTGTCATATCAGCCAAAACGTTCGTTTTGGCTAATAAAGCCACACTTGCCACATCCAAATTTGATCTCCTTTTCTCGTACCCAATTTGATGATACGACCTCATTCGATGCACTCTTCGTCAATCTTGTCCTCGTTTGGGACGAGTCTCCTCTTTCTGTTGGCGATATCTGAAAAAAAAATTATGAGAACGCATGTACTTATATACTTTTACTGATAAAGTACAAATTTCCATTTTCATGTTGTAACCAAATTTTATGCAGTATAAATAAATATGTAATTTATTATTATGCCAATTTTTCCAGCTTGGTTATCTTAAAATTTCTTTGCCTCCTCAGAACCACCCGGAATTAAACAAGCTACTTTGTTGGGGGGCTGTCCATCTGATACTGCCAATTTGGGTGAATTAATACGTAGGACCTTATTCGACGACACAATATAAACGACTCGTCCCCCCGGGTTGTCCTTCGGGTTGTCGTTCCCCCGGGTTGTCGTTCGGTGGCACACTAGGTAGCACCTTGGACGGCGATACAACTCGTCCCCTCTCAGAATTGACACGGTCGTCGTCTGACGTGGATGGTAGGGGATCAGCGAGAGAAATGAGTGTGTCCAAATCCCTCCCTCCAACACCAATAAACCCACCCATAGCCCTTTCGCTCGTTGTTGGTTTCAGCGGGATTCTTAAAAAGCTGAAACCAACAACGAGCGAAAGGGCTATGGGTGGGTTTATTGGTGTTGGAGGGAGGGATTTGGACACACTCATTTCTCTCGCTGTAGGGGATCGTCACCATCATCCTCATTCGTCCCAGCAAAATGGGGCCAAATGAACTCTTGCTCGACCTCGACTTACATCGTAACCCGCTGCAACTTTGACCTGACCAAGATCAATTTGTAACTTGAAAGTTGCCGCGTTCCTTGATTACCTCATCCTTCACATACTTTCCTAATTACCTATAAATATTTATAAACCTAAATTAAATATAATTCAAATAAGTCATTGCGATGTTTGTTCATACTCAAGATATGATATATTAATTAATTTTTTGTAATCTGATAAAAATATAAGAGTTTCGTCAAATCAAAAGTGAATTCTGATGACTTTTTAAACTTTGAATGTGTCAATTTGAGACATTCAAAGTTTAGATTCTTTAGTTTGTGCAAATCTGAATTTGCAAAAGTTGGCAGTTTATTTCATTGATACTATTTATGACATATTTGAATCCATCATGTATTCTCGTAAATTAATTTCGAATCCTGTCTTTGGATTAACAAACTGACAATGTACACCCGGTATACAAAAGTATTGGTTAAAGTGATAGTTGAAATATCCTGAAGTTGACATTGACCTAGATCGTTGAGGCTCCACGAACTGAAGCATCTACTCATTACCAACTAATCGCGCGTCGTCGATTTTTTTGATCACCAAAAGGTCATAGGTCAGAATTTTTTTTAATTTGAGGGGTAATTTTTTTTGATCCTTTCCATATTTTTTATTGGGTGGGAAAAGCGTTTTGAAGAAAAATGATGTGTCGTTTGACCGTGTATGATTTTTTTACGCCCACAGGAATTCTTCGACAAGAGCATGTCGAAGGGTCTAAAATCGCGAAATTCAAAAAACTGAAATACACGAAATCATATATATTACGCGGGTATGCTTTCGTATATTTCAGTTTTTTGAATTTCGCTACGGTCGCGATCTTAGACCCTTCGACATGCTCTTGTCGAAAAATTCCTGTGGGCGTAAAAAAAAATCATACACGGTCATACGACACATCATTGTTCTTCAAAACGCTTTTGCCACCCAAAAAAAAATATGGTAAGGATAAAAAAAATTATCCACGAAGTTTTGTTTTTCGACCCCTCAAATTTTTTTCAAAAAAAATCTGACCTATGACCTTTTGCTGATCAAAAAAATCGACGACGCGCGATTAGTTGGTAATGAGTAGATGCTTCAGTTCGTGGAGCCTCAACGATCTAGGTCAATGTCATCTTCAGGAAATTTCAACTATCACTTTAACCAATACTTTTGCATACCGGATGTATGTAAACTCGTGAGTGTCTGATATTCCAATTTTTGTGAATTTTGTACTTTCCGGGTAAGAAATCTTACCAAAATTTTTGTCAAATACATTTAAATTTTAAATACTTCTAAATTTACATTTTAACTTGTAGTTACTTGACGACCAGTTGCAGACAGTTACAATTTTATTTTGAATTTATTAAGGGTCGGGTCAAATTTGTTTTTGGCATAAAAAAATCTAACATGAATTTTCATTAGCAACTGAATTTTAAATGGAACGATTATGTCATGAAAACGTGAAGCTCTTACTCCGATTTTTTAATTGGCTTATCGAAACTCTCACCACGACAATTAAAATTTCGACCAATCAAACGTCGGATTGAGAGCTTCACATTTTCATGAAATAATCCTTCCATTTACAAAATTTGATTCCAACCTGCCTTGCGGATAACTTATGTCTACTTAAAACTATGTTTGTTTGATACCCTAAGGTTATGGCTACAGCGAGTACTCTATGGAATGATCGGAACACGCGTTCTTTCATTACAATTTTACTTTGTGGACTTAAAATGAGGTTGTTTTGCGAATTATTTGAAAATTTTACATTTGTGATCTTACTACGAAGGGATCTCAAAAAGTTAGTGACTACTTGTGGTGTATTTTATAAAATTAATACGAAATCAAAAATCCGATTTGCTAATGCAGGTTGAAGCGCCCCGTGCAACAGAATTTGAGGGAGAAATTGAACTGAAATTTTCAATTTCTAATGTTGCTAGGAATAATTTGACCCGATCCCTTAATAGTAGAATTTTGAATTTGTTTATTTATTTTGTAAATATGTAATATGTAACTTGTCGAGTCTCTTTATTTGTCACAATTTATTATTTTCCGTCTTAATTAGCAGTATCGCGGTTTCAATTTCAGCTGACGGGATACAGACTCGTTTACCTTGTTCATGTAACGTATGTTGTACATATGTACGGAGATGTTGGTTACATGGAAAACTTTTACATTAAGACAGTAAGTCAAATAAGAAAAAGGGGTGAGGCAAATGCTTAGTTTCTACCGTGACGGCATACCCGCAAAGTCCTCCCCAAGAAGACGCCACCATCATTATATTTATATGTATAAATACTTTCTTGTGATCCTCTTCCTTTTTTTTATATATAAAAATAAAAAGTTGCTGCTTTACTATCATCTGTCCTATGTAAGAGCTAAGTATTTCAAAATAGCATCCAAGTACGGGATTGGGGGCTCTTTCGTTTCTTACTTCCGTTGCATTTGGCTCGGTCAGGTCAGGGTATAGGATGACAAGCCTTCCCCCGGAGGATTCCCAATCCCATTAAACTCTGCGGGCGAGATACCTTGTCCTCTGAAACTTCATTTCAGGGGACAAGCATCTTGTGGGCTTGTCATCAGGGTTGCAAGTGGTATAAACCATTTTTCCCAGGACAGTGGGAAAAAATGGGAAAAATACAATTTTTACCACCCACTAAAATCAGTGGGAAATGGGAAAAATGGGAAAAATGATTTGAGGCAGTGTGAGACTGTCAAATTCCCTCAAGGGAGACCAAATTTTGTCCTTGCAGGGCATTTTTCTAATCTCTCTGCTCTCTCGTTATTTATCCAACTTCGTAAGTTAGACGGAGCAGTTTTCGGACCTACTCAGGTCTTCTGTAAGGTCACAAAGAGCTGAGCCATTATAACATAATGTAAGAAAAAAAGAAATTAAATAAAAATAAATTAAATTATTTGAAGCAATCATTGATTGATTTTTTTATAATTATATTTTTTGGACCAGTTATTACATATAATCTAAACATCTGACACAGGAGCTTAGATATAAATAACCCTGGAGCAGATTATGGTCCATGTATTAAAATTAAAGACATTTCTGCATAAGAAATGCATACAAAAATGTCTTTAATTTTAGTGCATGGACCATAGCAGAATATGACACATTTCAATAGTGTAACTAATACAAATGTAACTAAATTTATGTAAGCTGAAATCAAGCGTATACAAGAGAAAAATTGGATGAAACTGTTGACAATTTAATTTAATTAATTCCACTGACTCAGGAACAGAACCGTAAAATACTGACACAGGAGCAGTACAATTAAATTGCTGATAGGAGCAGTATGAGGGACTAAAAAGTATAATTGCGTACCTATCGTTGCGTTCATAATTTAATTAAAGTTAAATTATCTTCATACAACTAGCCGTTAAAAAATCTGCCACACAACAAAATTTTATATGAACCGCAATTAGAATGAGCCAATCAGAGAATTTTTCCCATTTTGGACGTCCAAAATTAATTTTTCCCATTTTTTCCCAATTTTTCCCACTGTCCTGGGAAATATTATTTTGGACGGGATTTATGCAACCCTGCTTGTCATAAATATTAGAATTTAAATAATTTCTTCAAAATTATTTAATCTGAATCTCTCAACTTTTTCCTACTCAAAAATGGGTCTTTTATGTATACCCAACTAGTCGTAACTTTAAACGCATCCTAATTAAGTACAAATTATTTTTATTGTAACATGCTGTGACCCCATTGTTTTTTTAGTCTTATTTGTAGTCATGGTGTCAGAGTATGAAATAATTTACTATTTTTTGAAATAAAGGGTTGAAAGTCCCTAAATAATCTATAACCCAAAAAAAAAAATAAGAAAAAAAATTATCCTGTTTCACCCAGTTTTTGGAACCCTCTGCTATAATTTTTATTTATATACATATATTTATCAGTTATAATTATTGATTAATTTTAAATTCGTACAACAAACTTACCCTCATTATAACACATATTCTTACATATGTACATACATATGTCCATACACATATACTCTGGTAAAACTGTTTTTCGTTTTTTATTGTGTTATATGTAAATATGCGTTGCTTCATATTTCCTGAATATTTCCATGCATTAATATTGCAGTATATGTTTCGTTTTAATTTCCCGTACAATAAAAACGTTTTTCACCAAGAAGTGTTTCACAAATTATTCCTACTAGACTAATTAAAATTTTGAAGTTCGAAAGGCTGACTAGCATCAACTGTAAATGTAACACTTTGTCCTCGTATTGGTGACACATTTTCCAGTCGGCTACGTTTTAATCAAAGAACTTGCAATTGTTCCAGAAGGACAAGACGCTGTAGCTGAGCATTAGATAATAGCCGTGTCTCCTCTGTTTCGAATTTTGTCAACCCTTCCTCCGCTGTTTTCCTTTTCATTACATTAGTTGGAGGCGCGGGAGGTTTCGATGTAGGATGAATATTGGATTCAGATGAGGTGAGAGGAACGGCAACTCGAGAGCTAGAAATCCCCCCAGACAAAGCCCCCTGAAAAAGAATTAGCAAATTTTAAAATATGGTAATTTAAGGAGCTGCTTGGGTCACACCTGAACCTGAGCTATAGAAGGATTGGACTTTTCTCCGATTAAGTCAGCAATTATCTTCTCCCAAGCTTTTAGCACTACTTTTTGGTTTCCCGTTCTGTTGGTATCACACTTAGTTTTTACTTGGGTCTTCATTCTGGAAATTTTCTTGGTTAGCGTAGCATTTGTGAAAGTTCGCAGCATTTGGTCCTGAAGTTTAAGAATTAATTCAGTAACTGCATTTTCTTTTCTTAGTTTCACGGCAGGAAGTTGAGATTTGTTAAGCAAGATTGGATAATCTTTTAGCAGTGTTACGAATGCAAGTTGTTTATCATCCTCTTGTCCTCCGATGATTCGATCCTCCTCCTCAATTTCCGAAAGGGTTGACATTATGATTAAGAACCTAAAACAATTAAATTATAATTGCATATATAATAATTGCATTTATTATAATTATAAAGTATAAACTAGTGGAAATTATTATCATCATACCGTAATGTAAACACAAATGA